AAAAAAAAAAAAAAAAAAAAAAAAGCACGGGCTCTTCTGTGGCATGCTCCAGGGAGACTCTTGGATATTGATGAGTTAGGGAGGAGATGGATGATTGAAGACTTACCAGCCTTTATTGCTTGTTTTCTCCCAGAATTAGACTCACGGGCTATGCCCAAGATGACAGTGGCTTAAGGAAGTATCTGGCCTCCTGTTTGGGTGACAAGCCTCACAAGGGGTGGTGTGGCATTTGGAACACTCATATTCTCCTTGTAGCTGTGTTATCAGGATAAGGGGATCGGGAGGACCTTTGTTGGCACATCAGGAGCCACTAGAAGGATGTGTCCATTCGTGCTTCAGGCCAGGATGGGACATCTTTGCAGCCTTTGTTGCTTCATAGTGCCAGGGGAAGGTAGGGCTCAGTGCACGGGATCAAGGGCGGAGGAGGTGTCGCTGAGGATTCTGAGTGAGGCAGAAGGGGGCAGCTGCAAGAGTGAGGGAAGGACAGTGCCAAGGAAAGATGGAGACACGGCAATCAGCGGGGGTGGGGAGGAAGGGAGGGAAAGAGAAAGACGGGAGGGAGAGGAAGAAAATAGGAGGAATGGCACATTTATTGAACACCTCCTTTATACCCATTTTCTTGGTGGTAGAAACACCAGTTGAGTGAATAAGACATGGTCCTTTGAGAATCTCATTGTGTAAGAAAATCAGACAAATCCATGGTAGGAGCCAAGTGTGACTATTTAAAAGAGAAAAAGTAGGAATGGAGTCTACCCAAATACAGACTCAGATTTAGGGACTAGTGTAACCCAAAATACTCAAGTTTCCTGGTGCAGTGGAGGCAAGCCCACCTGGGAGTCAGAAGACCCAGGTGTCGTTGGCTTGTTGTGTGAACTTGGCCAGGTCATTTCCTACCATGGTTGGAGCATCGAGAGAAGCACATATGAGCTGAAGACTGAAACTGCTCTGGAAGTTGATGTTCTGTCAACTAGTCTAGGAACAATGGCTGGTGGTGTCGAGCTAGGAGTTGGGTTCAAAGTCTAGAAGAGCCTTCACTGAACTGGAATCCTGATGTTTGCCTGAAGACCCTTGGACCCTCTGCCTCTTTTTGTAAAATACTTATTTTACTGATTGCAAATGTAATAAATATGCTCTTTGTAGAAAATGTGGAAAATATACAAAGGGGTAGAGAAATGAATAACAGCTATTAAAATTTTGATGTACTCCCCTTTGGCTTTTTTTGCTTGGCCAAAATCAAGCTAGTTGGCTATTTATACATATTTTAATATTACAAAATTAGAATCTTAGTATATTTGTAGTCATGTATTTTTAGGTTAGCATCGTATCATGAAAACTTGTCCTATATCGTTACAGATGGCTCCAAAATATAATAGGTTAAATAACAGTGTTTTATGGAGCATTCACTACCCATATGTGCCAGACTGGTTCTAAGCTCTTTATAGCTATAATTTCATTTCATATTCATAAAAACTCTATGAAGTAGGTAGTATAATTTTCCTCCTTTTACAGATGAGGAAAGTAAGGCTTAGAGAGGTTATGCTACTTGCTTGAGGTCACACAGCTAGTAAGGATAAGAGCTGGGATTTAACTCCAGGTTAATCTGATTCCAAAGCCTATCTTTTCGCCATCACAGCAGGCTATGACATGCTGCATCTGTGATGGTTTTTCCTGGCTGTGTAGCATTTCCACCTAAGACCGTGGCACAGCTTACTCACCAGATCTCTTGTTAGACTGTTCCCAAGTTTCCACTTCTATAAACAGGTACCAAGATGAAGATCCTTGCCAGCTCCCTCTCTTCCATTCCCAAGGCCTCTTCAACTCACTTGTTTATCCATGGGCCAAATGGTCTCTTCTAGCTTGTCCCCCCCCAACACACACACACTGCCAGGTGTGAGTTTACACATTGTCCAAACTTCTGGAGTGAAACAAATCTGCAAGAATATTCCTTTTCCTATTAAGTCACTCAGTGGGAAAGGAATTAAGCAGAGGAAATGGTTAGGGGAGTCATTCAGAACTCTTTGCTGTAAGATTAAATTATAATTATTTACAGGGCTGGTGTCACCATGCCAGGCAGGATGCATTTGTTGTTCCAATTTATACTTGCACAGCAGTTATGGATAAACAAACTTGGAGGCTCAGGAAGTATGTGTGGGAAGAATCTGTTCTCTCCCTTGCCCCTCTCCTTTATGGATCCCGGGATTCCTGTGAAGATTTGATGCTGCTGCTTTATGAGGATACTGCATTTATTAGTGTACATTACGATTTCAGGCTGTTCTCTTGAGCTCTGTGCCAAGGCATAGAAAGGCAACAGATCCTGTTAGAAAAGATAGATTTGGACAACTGGGCATCCTTTCACTTGTCTAGAGGACAGGACCCCTTTGAGAGAAGAAAATTTGCTACCTCCCTTACCGGATAGCAGGTTCCCATGGATTCAGAAAGGAGGGTCCCATGTAATGTCCCTGACTCAGTTTCCACACTCTTCTCCTCCCCCAAGTAGAATAGCAACAGGAAAGCTGTAATTAGGGGTTCCCGTGTAGATTTCATGGACTAGGGAAACAATTGTGGAAATATATGTTCATAATTTTTTATTTTGCCAAGTAAGGGTATTAAAAGAAAACCTGCCAACTCCTCAGCACATTATTTCATAAAACAAAGGACAATTCAAAGCCAAAAATGTGTCAGGAAATAATCACTTGGCAACCTTGTGCTGACATCATGAAAGATGAGGTGGGGAGCACACGTGTACAGCAGTGTGTGCCCGTCACCAGAGTCCAGCGAGATATATGCATCAATCAGTGGACCGATTTTTCCTGTTCCATTGGTCCATGACCAGCCTTTGGGAATCTGACAATACATGTTTTGAATGGAGAAAGGCTGTTACTATGGTGAGCACTGAACCCTGGAGCACTGACATGTTGAGAGATTCCATAGTATTTTATACTCATTCTCCCTAAAGTTAATTGCTTTTTCCTGTGTGTGATTGACCATGAGCAAAGCTGGGCTTGAAGCGACCAAGGGTTACAGTCCAGACAGTAGATTTGGTATTGCTCCCCAACAACACACACACGCACACGTGCAGGCTTGAAGCGACCAAGGGTTACAGTCCAGACAGTAGATTTGGTATTGCTCCCCAACAACACGCACACGTGCACACACACACACACAGCCAAATCACCCTGCACACACCCCTCCAAGTCACCACCGCACACACATCACCAAGTCTACCCCCTGCACTTTCATCTCCAGTTCACTGAACTCAATTTAGGAGCCAGATTTCCTCTCACTGACCCTTCTGGGGGGCAGGGGCTCTTTCTTTGTTCTGCTGTGACCCAGTCAGTTGGCTCCAACCATCATGAAGCCCCTATTCCTTCACAGCAAATTCTAGGAAAATACTCTCACCATTACTGGAGTTCCTCATGAGGCCACTGGACATTTTCTGAGGGCTGGGATTGGAGGATGTAGAAGACCCTTCTCGTGAGGGGGATCTGGGTCCCTGGAAGGTATCAGGATCATATTATAACAAGCAGAAGGGATTGCCAGCCCATTACAGAGCTGGCCTCTCCACTGGTAGAGAAAATCAGTGAAGCTCAGGCCCTGAGAATCCACTAGATCTGGAATCTCCCCCCTCCTCCCTCTGTCTCATGCTTGACACCTTCCATTTGAGTCTCTGCAGAATCTTCCCCTGGTCTACAAGATAGGAGAGAAAGTCAGACATACCCTCTGAAACTATGGGAGAGGAGGTTTGTGCAGTTCCTCTGGGTTAGGCATCGAGCCTGCCTCTTGTCATTTCACGGGGGAGACAGCCAGCGTGGGAGTCAGGCAATTTTTGGTTCAAAACCCTGATCCACTCTTAGTACTTGTGTCATCTTGGGATATTTACTAACTTCTCTGAGCCTCCGTTTTAACATCTGAAAACTGGGGCTCAACATACCAACATGCTTTGTAAAGCATGTGGAGAGGCTAAACATGTAACATGCAACCTGGCTTATGGTAGGTATAATTCTCCTGGGAGGGGGACCAGAGTTAGGGACTCAAAGCCTCACTGGCCCCATTCTTGGTGGATTCGCTGAGGCCACCATCCAAGCCCTCCAGCCTAGAGGCATCTCACCAGGCAGAAAGGCACAGCCTGGCTGCCCCGACTGATTCAGCTTCCAGAAGAATTGTCTAGAAACCCAGATGAGGTGGACTGGGAGAGGGTCCCTGGGTCAGATGGGAGGATGCCCTTGCAAATGTCACAAGGGGGGACAGGGATTATGCTGAAACTGTCTTCCCAGGGCTGCACTTTGTGATCATATTGTGGGTGTCATCACTTCTGTA